GCCACTTAGTTATCACTTTTGCCTTATGGTACGGTGCTCCATCATGCTGGAAAAGGCATTGTCCATCGCCAAACTGTTCTTGGGTGGTTGGGAGAAGTTGCCCTCAAGGATGTTTTGGTACCCTTTATTCATGGCGGTGTTCTTAGGCAAAATTGTGAGGGGATTCATCAGAGAAAATTACTTTACCCCAGTCCTCAGCAGTCCAATCCCCATAGCTTTTGCAGAATATAAGTCTGTCCCTGATGTTTTTCTTGGAGAGAAATGGATTCTTTCACTGTGCATGCAGATGCACTCACACCTGCCTGCTGCCCTTCCTGAGGAAGCTCTGCACTGGTGGTGCCCTGATCCCACGGCTGAATCAACTTTAGGAGACAGACCTGGTGTTGCTGGACTTTCTTGGGTGCCCTGAAGTCTTCTTCACAACAATTGAAGTTCTTGATGATCCAACAAATAGTTGACTTAGGTGCAATCTTACTAGCAGCAATATCCTTGCCTGTGAAGCCCTTTTTCTGCAAAGCATTGATGACTGCATGTGTTTCCTTGCAGGTAACCATGGTTAACAGAGGAAGAACAATGATTTAAGCACCACCCACCGTTTAAAGCATCCGTTCTATCAATCCAATTCAATCAGCATGACAGAGTGATCTCCAGTCTCGTCCTCGTCAACATTCTCACATGTGTTAACGAGAAAATCACTGAAATGATGTCAGCAGGTCCTATTGTGGCAGGGCTGAAATGCAGTGGAAATGAGTTTTTTGGGATTAAGTTCATTTTCATGGCAAAGAGGGACTTAATTGCAGTTAATTGCAAGTCATCTGATCACTCGTCATAACATTCTGGAGTATATGCAAATTGCCATCATAAAAACTGAGGCAGCAAACTTTGTGAAAACCAATTCTTGTGTCATTCTAAAAACCACAACTGTATGTACAAGATGAAATTAGCTTACGGTTTTTTTCCTACATGTGTGCGATGAAGCACATACAGTTTCTGTGAATGAAAGGTCACATGACTGGCAACGTGCCACATGACATTTATGCCATTATCGCTGCTAATTGTTAGGTACGGGGATGGGAGGGGATTCGGTTTGGGTACAAACAGCCTGGCCGCATTTGTGACGCTGAAAAAAAGATAACAAAGGCGGAGGCCCCCGTAAAGCTTAACTAAGTTGGCAAATAATGAAAGAAGAACAATGAGCGGGTCAGTTGGCCCTTAATTATTAATCTTTCCTTTTGAAAGACTCCTCTTTCAGCTTTTCGCAGTTAGCCGCTTTCTCATTGAACTCGGTGCAAATCTTTGAAAATTCTCCCAGGGCCACATAAGCCCTTAATTATACACAGTTATCAGCAATAAATAAATAGTTTCTAAATGGATTCCTTAGCCAGAAATACGCTTGAAAACTTCATAATGGTGATTTGTTATAACCAGGAGAATATTGTCTGTGCATTGAGTCAGGCTACCCATAGTCCTGGACCAGTGCCCCTGTCAAACTTTTCCCGCTTCCAGTGCCAGCCGAAGCCCATGTGGCACACCCTAGGATAGCTTCCCCCCCACCTCCCAACAAACTTCACCAACTTGTTTCAGTTTGATTGGATGGCACACGTAGAGCAACTCGTCTATCAGCGCTCCTCACAACAGGGTGGAGGGAGGGGGGGGCACAGGCCACCTGCTAAGTGGGCACCCCTCAGAACGTGGCGTCAAGGGGAAGAAATGTTTTTATTGCTCAATTTAAGGAGCGCTAACAAGCAGTGTTGTGTGGAGGAGGCTACAAGGAGCAGACACTGGTTCCTTGCTGATGCTTACTATGCTATTACAACAGTTTATCCCGGAAGACCTTTACAGTGAAACCCCAAGTCCGGGGTCAACAAGGTCTAGTTTAAAGACCCACCAGGAACAGCGCACAAGCATTAATGGCCACCGGGGCACCGTAAAGACCGACAGGCACTGTAATAAAGCCCAAATGCTACCGTTTATAAGGCATAAATCAAAGTCTGAAACAGACTGTTCCCAGCACAGACAACTTCAAAGGTACATTAAAGGCTCCTCTGTCATCAATCGCTTGCGACAGACACGCCGCCAAAACACGTTAATAAATTCCAGCTTCGCCACACCATCTGTAGAAATGGTGCAAGCCATTGTATAAAGTCTGCTTCAATTTCCATCCATCTCCCATAATGGCACAAACACCAGGAGAACATGTGATCTGCACACACGTAGGTCCAGAGGTGGGAATGAAGTCCCCCAAACCCGGAAGGATGAGGTTACTGTGGCAACCATGGAACCACTGTGAATTTTAATGTCATTCAGATCACAGATGCGTTTAGCATGGCAACACTTTCATTTGCCATTCTCTCGCGAGGTAGCTGATGTCTTGAGAGAAATATATGCCTTTTTGAGACGGCTAATTAATATCCCGCACTGCACCCCTACGTTAAAATAACGCACCAGCTTACTGAAGAGCCTCTCAGTCAGCAGAACTGACCTCTCTGCTTTCATTAGGCTGGCCCAGGGCCCATAAAATTAACAGAAAGCCACTAATTATACAACCATTTTGGATACAAGTTGCATATGGGGGTGCTGTGTTGCTCTGTGGGTTGTGATGCTGTGCTAGTGATCAGAATGTCGCTGTTTTGAATCCCAGAATTGATTTCATCCTCGGGCTCTTGAGCAAGGTCCTAAACCGCTGATCCAGCGACCGTCTGACCGTTTTCTCAAAAATGTATTTTAGGTTAGAGCATCTGCTAAATATGTAAAAGATACATAATCCACCTCCAGGGCCTTTAATAGTTAAAAACAGAAACATAATAACTCAGAGGCCTTGTTCAATACCTTTATGCTGAAAAACATGACAAGTTTTATTTTGATTGCTCTGGGGGGGGAGGGGCATAGAGGGCACATAAACATCACAAGTTGATATCCTGTTTACTTGCAGTGTCCAAAGGGC